AGAAGTCCATAAATCTTCTTGCCATCCAGGTGTTCAATCTTTGTTTGACAAAGTCCAAAGCGATGCCAATGACAGGGTCTGGTCCGATGAAGCTGCTTGCAGCACCCTCCTTTGTAAGGGAGTCAGCAGCCACATTGCCGTCCAGGCCAGAATGGCCAAGAATCTAGGCCAGTATGACCAGGAATCCAGACCAGAGACAATATGATGAGTCTCCCTATAGAGGAGAGTCGTTTTTGTCAATTTGCTACCAATTTATACGTTGCTCGGTAGGAGTTAAGAGCTTCCAGCGCTGCTTGGGATATTTTTATTGACCTGTATATGAGGTTTCATTCTTCCAATCTCTCCGCGCAAATTTCTGCTTGAAATACAGTCGCATAGCTTCCTTGTCAGGTTGATATCTCTGTCCTGGGTCTGCGACTGAAAACACCTACACCAGAACCAGAAGGTGTTTTGATTCATCTGTGAACCAACAACTATCTGCTCTTAATATTTCGTTCTCCCGGAGGATCCAGTCCTCTCTACTCGGAAACAGTACTTTATAAGGCAGTTCGTAGTTGACAGTTGGAGGCATAAAGTCAGAGGTCATTTCCAGAATGCTGTGACTTTCAGTGTTAACCAACAGTCTGTTGCAATCTGCATTAAATTGATTTGTGCAATTGGCAATGTGCACAAGTCTATATGCAGTCCATCTAGCCTCTCTCTCCAGAAAAATGTGGAGAGGATGTAGATCTAGAAGGATCTCCATGGCCGCTGACAATGTGGTACTGATGGTACCACTGATGACCAGACAAGCCTGTCTCTGTAAGCCAGAGAGCTTCGCCTGGGCCGTTTTTTGTAAAGCCTTCGGCCACCAGGCAATTGTACCATAAGTGATCATTGGTCTGACCCTAATCTAAGTTGAATTATTTAATTTTGGAATTGTTCAACTTGAGAAGAGCTTAGGTTATTACTTAAATGTTATGTATATTAATATGATAATGTAAGGAAAGGTCATTTAAAAAGTAGATATATTATAGCTGCCATAAGCCAATCGTTACGTTCGTAGGATTGAATAATGATACTAATAATGTACATACACAAAATTAGTATCATGATTTTCAATTCACGTTTCAAATAGTAAAAGAATATTACGTGCTTGCGGGTTAGATTTTTATAATACTGTCAACAATATATATCTAACGCATACTGAACACTGAGCGTCTGTCCGACGAAAGAGGAAAAGCCTGCCTTCCACTGATGTATGTGTGAGAGATAAAAAGGGCCCTTTTCAGAAATTTGACAAACTACTAACTTCAGGACAGTTTACTTCAATCATAACCTATTGAAATCCAATTACCTACAAAACAAGTATTTTTTCAGCAACCGTACAGAGAAGTGTGGTAAATAAAATGAAAATAACGGAATATTTTTATTTTTGATGTGACGCTACCTTGTGACACAGTTTTGGTTTGAATTTGAGTATGTACTAATCCTACTTAAGTTTCCCACTTTTTACAGAGCAACTCTAACGATACAGGCACTTTTTTATTTCAGTACCTATTGGTGAGAGACTTTCTTCAATTTGAAATAACTCATCAATACAGCAGATAACTTTTGAAGAAACTTAGAACAAAGGTCAGGAAGAATCATACTAAAATTTGTGGTAATTGAACTGAAAAAAAAAAACAAATTTACATGAGCTTTGTTGGTTTCGCAGGAGGTGAATGATATCGAGGTCTTCATTCTCGTCAAATAGCGGTTCTAGATCAAAATCGGTACAGTCTTCGTTGTTGTCGATGACCTATTTCTATTATCGTATCCTTGGCCAGAACACAGAAAGTTTGGAGGCAGCGTCTACACTATTCCCAATGGGTTAGCAGTCATCAGCCCATTAGGAGTAGTGTCTTTGATCCTGTGTTTGATGATTATTATCATCGATTCCATAACTTGTATCTCCATTCTCGAGTGATGGAAACCTTTTCCCCATAGAAACGGCCGTCATATTGAACTAACCGAAATGATTAAAATATGCTCTTAATGTTAAATTACGTCATTTCGACGGCGTATCCTAGTGACCTGAAAAAGTGGAAATGTGACGTCATTTCCCTAGTGACCTCAGGAAGTGAACATGTGTTTCATCAGTGGTCGGTGGTAGTTTAGCCAGATTGTACTTGGTGGTACAATGAGATTGTTATGAAGGGAGCAGGACTGTTGTCTTCTGTCGCCATACAGGGTTACCAATATCTTCTCCTCTGCTACTAAAAATTTTTGGGGAAGGGCAGCAACTTCTACGTTCTCTTCAGCAATCATTAAGAACATATTCAAGTTACATACGTCAACCAATACCTGCTCCATAGCTATATGAAAAGTCATATAAAACTTACGAAACCAAACCCATCATCCAAACTTTTTATAAAAATTAACTATAGATGGGACAATCAAAGATTGTAATGTCATGGGTCATCAACAAAACACGCGATAAGACAAATTTTATACACAATCCATTTCGGCTACAGGTAAAATACGAAAACAAAACAGTCAACGTTTGCTTTCGATTAGAGATCTCTTGATAGCTTGTACTCATTACATCGAGGAGAGAAAGCTGTACAAACTTGAGTCATCAGTAATTTCTAATATTCTGAAACTAACTGATGACGTATTACTAATAATACATTTTACTGGTGTTTCTACGATTTGAAGTCTTTTATATACAGATAGTGCAAATCCACGAATATCTAGTGTGTCTTCTATCAATCCCATAGATGGCGTCGTCGTAGGGGAATATATCATCGCCGTTTTTTACTCAGCCTTGTTCTTCAAGGACAGTTGAGTCCAACACAGCATTCATAGTGCCATTTATGAGACTTGCAGTGTGTCGAAACAACGCTGTCTGGTTTCATCTTTATCAATGTAGGTAGCTACGAAAACCTCCAAAGTGTAGGAGTCTATTTGACTCACACCTACCGAAACTCGACCAGATGAGGAATTAGTCTATTACTTTATTTGGTGAGTGATCATTCAGGGTCATCTGGCACGAGTGGGACCAAGCTTAAGGCCTCTTTCACACGAGGAGCTTCACATCTCCCGCTTCCGAGAGACAGGAAGGCTCTTAGCACCAAATTGCAAGGAGATTCGCGAAGGTGTGCGGGAACCGCCACGTCTCGGGAGACGAGAGCTCTCACGTCTCCTGCACTTCGACCCTCGAAGTGAAGTTCCTCGAACTGAATACATTCTTCGAGCTGAATTCCATTCTCCACCTTATGTAGGAGCTCATCAAATGTCGCAGATGACATTCAAAAATATAATTGAAAAACTTTTTCTCATCCCATCTAAATTCTGGGTATATGTATACAAAACATTCTTGATTGTTGGCGTTTCTGTCGTCGAAGTTTGTGACGACGGTAGAGGAAGTATAAGGCAAAAACTCGCGTGCGATCCATTCTACGACTGAGCTCAAGGAGCCAGGAACTAAAAAGGCTTCCGGCATTCATAGGTTGGAGTGATAAACGCTCTTGTATAGGAGCGAGAGACGTGAAGCTCCCCGTGTGAAAGTGTCCTAACGCAACATGATCTGGTCCACTGGTTTGCTGCTACAAGGCCTGAATTTTCCTTGTAAAGAAAAGTCCTCTCTAAGGTTGATCGAACATGATCCATTTTCCTGAATATAAGGATTCAATCGGTAGTCTGCGACTATCTTTAATGAAACGCTACCTTACTACCATTTAAAAATTTTGAGGTGATTTTCCCTCTCGTTTGGGGTGGGAGTAGTGGAGTCAAATATCCTTTTCTTTAAGAAATCTGAAAATGAATATATTTATATCAATTCATAATTCAGTTCAAATTATTCGACCGTTGTCTGTTATTCGTAATGTGAACTACGTATTTTCATAACTACGGTTTCTCCAGTGAATTTTTTAATAGGTTATATCTACTAATTTTGAATATATTCAGCTAGAGATGGAAGGTGATTCAGGTGGCACCATCTAGTAGTGGGAGACTATACCTCTGCAGGCATTAACGATGTATGAAGAGAAATAAGATAGTTGGCGTTGCTTAAAGGGAATCTTCAAACTACGGTATCGACAATGATACCTATCGACATTGTCTGATGATTTAATCGATGACAAAATTGAGTTAAAATAGTTCATTTGAAATGAGGATGCTTGATCATCCTTGAAAAAATATTTTCATGTTTATATTTTTTCTTCAAGAATTCTGAAAATACATATTTCTTTTAATAATTATTAATTTGGTATTGGATTTCATAGATATATGAAAATAATATATTTGGTGGACCTATGAATATCTTCAAGAAATTTTGAAAACAGACATTTATGGTTTCATGAAAATTTTTCTAAAGAATAATCGAAATCAAATATGTATGTAGTTTCCTGAGGAGAATACTTACTACCAATGTCTATTTACTACTAAAGATACTACACATGTCTTGCCATCTAGTTTTAGGAATTCAAAGCGCAAACGTAATGTAGTAGGCCCTTTCAACTGTCAACAGATAGCGCTAGGTGAACTTTATACGAAAATATTTTATTAGAAATTATCACAGATCAAATTGAAAAAATATTGATCTGGAATTACTTATGATTGTTCAGATACTATTTATAATGTGTTTCAGGGCATATATAAAACTTGTATTCATTTGCCAAGAATAAGTCATGTTTTCATATTTCTTATAATACTTAAAGAGTTTAAAATTTAGGAAATTGAACTCGTTCTGAACTGATAATCAAAAAATTGAAGCACTCATCTAGGTTTGGACAAAGAAATGATAGAAACTGGCTCAATATTAAGCATAATAAAGCATAGTTTTACATAACAGCAATAAATTTCCCAGCTGTCATTCATCACCAAAATAACAAGCAAATGGCTTGGTTATGTAAATATTATATGAATTTTACTGGAGGACGATCAGTTTGATCTTCCACTTGAAGATAATACTTGGTGATTGAAACACGTGTCGAGGTGTTAAAATTACGGTTTGCTGAAAAAGTTTTTTCTTTCAGATATGGCAAGAGGCGACTCATGGCCAGGAAGGTTATGTTGTCCGATACCTTACAGCGAAAGCTGTAGAAGAGCCTGCATCACCGCAACATCCCATTTTGATCTTCCCAGGGGATGCAGACAAAGTGACGAAATCGCATTTTTCAGTTGCCTTGAAAGACAACAAGGTTAGTTAATATTGTTTCCTTTCATGTCCACACCATTATATTGCTCAAAATGGTTCTCATTCGGAACATTGTTTATGTATGGAAGTCTTCCCCTGAAAACTTTGCTTCGAGGTTCAACTGATACTTTGAACAACATTTGCAACAGCACTGCTCTATTTGTAGTGCTTGTGCAACTCCATAAAATGTACCTATTCCAGTAATTCAAACTACTTTTGAGTTTTGGGGCCATTATAAAGTTAACTATCAAATTGATCAAGATGAATATACGTTTATAATTGATAAGTGTTACACTAGCGGAAATTTTCAGCATCGTTGTTTTTGACTATAAAAAATTACGCAAACCAGTGAATAGATCGAATCACTGATGTGAAAATCCTCTCCACGTTTCAATTTGCGGTGAATTATAATGCCTAACAAACGTATGAAAACGTATGTGTTCTATCGAAAATGACAAACTTGATTTCGACAATTCATGTAGGGAAGACTCGGTTAAAATGGAATACTTAGTGGAAAAATGTGCGTAACTCATGAAAAAAACACAATGGAATTGCTAGTTTCAGCCTATGTTGTTGATAATGTTCTCTATGATATCTATGAAATAATATCAGTAATTCTATGAGAGAAGGAGATGTATCCTGTTTTGTCAAACTGGCCGGATGAAACGAGATATTTGGGGCTGTTGAAACGGGATAGTTTTCAATGCTGCTGAAAAACTAAAACAAAATACATTCGAAAGTGCAAAATCAGTACAAAAAAACAAGAACAAAATAGTTTATGAAGTGAATAAAAGATTGAACGGCACGATTTTCATGTGCCCATCCCATGCAAAGAAAGCAGTTTATCCACTTCTCTATCGGTTTGCAGTTAAAATATAGATCATTATAATAAATGCAAAGAGCCTTCTTCAGTTCCATCTTCTTCTTCTAAACTACTGTTCGAGATCCTGATATCGATATTAGATATTGTTTTTATTTAGTTGGCTTCACTTTGTTACTATATGTCTTTTCAATGTCGTTTTTTCAATCGGCTTTTTCTTATTTCTTCCATCACTGAAAACTGCTTCTTCGGTAGCTTTTTCAAATTAAAACTCTTTTAGTTTCTCTTTGTTAAGGGGTTGATGTTAATATTGTAGTTTTACTTCGTCTTTGATCATTAGTATTCACATTTCTTCATCAGTTTTGAAATTGGAACCATTATTTAGGAAAAAAGACAAAATTTATAAGGGGTGTAGTATCGCATGTTGAACAAACATGCCCTTGCCCGTCACGCTGGCTTGAATGCCAGATTCATAACATGTCATCTTAGTTCAGGACCCAAATCATAAATAGAAACAGTGGTATTGAACAAAAGTCTCGTATTCTGTTTTACCATACCATACCGTTTTGCCAGACTCTAACCTACCACGTAAGATATTGCAAAGTAAAAGATTTTTTGCGAATATCAACATAAACATCTTGGATAAGGGATGCAACAAAATTTGATTTGAGTAACCCTCGTTTTCAGTGGTTTGATCATAGACTTTTGACCATAGATTTTGAAAAACCGTCTACTTGCCATGTTGCTATATATGACAATAGTGACCCTGTTGTTGAGTGTCCCCAAAATTCATGAGAATTTGGAAAATAAAGGAAGTGCATCAATAAAATATCTAACAGCACCTCAGATACAACTTGAATTTCTACAGATTGTGCAGTAGACTGAGAAGCTTATCTGGTCAAATTAGACCAATAAATAGAAGTGGAGGTAAAAAACTTCGCACCTACCCGAAATTGTTAGGATTGTTCAAAACACTATTATAACTGGAATCTGAAAAATCCTCATCCGATACCTGGAAAAATATGTACTCTGGACCAAAGGTCACAAAATCGGGTTTTTCGCGATTTTCAGCAAAACGGTTAGCTTCATCATAAAATCAGTTTTGACAAAAATTGTAGACCAGATGATTATCTATAAAAAATGTCGAGATACTTCTTCCTAAGAGCCGCCATTTCTGAGATATAATGATTCAAATATGTATACTTGCATGATAAAAAAAAACTGAGAGACCTAATTGTAACTTAGACTTAAAAGACCTCGGCCGAGCAGCAGTCATGATATTTTGGCTAACATTTTTGCATATTAATTTTAAATGATCTAAATTTGATCTTCTTTTTACATCACTCCTTCCAAAACATGTTTCAGCGACTCTGAGATTTCATTGTTAAAATCACCAAACATGCGATTTGGTGGAAGACAATTAGAATTATCTAACACTATGGATTGAATATCTTCCTAATAATTGCTGCAGCAGCGTCTAGGATTCTAATTCGTTCTTCCTTTTTATTCATCTTTTTTCGTACCAAGTTTGATTCAAAATATGACGATTGTCTACTAAGCATATGAAAGGTGATGCTCCCGATTTTTCCTTGATAATAATTTTATCACCAAACCATCGTCCTGTCATTTATAGTTGTAGTTTTGCAAACATTTCCCAATTCGTTCGATTTCGATGTAAGTGAATATTTTCTCCATTGCCAGTTTAGTAATTTCATCTTAAGAATGACCGACTTCAACTCCAGTGGTTTCAATTTAACTCGAGCAATAACAGCTTTGGCCATAGCATCAGAACGAGTTCGAGCTGTTTCCAGAATCAAATCTTTAAATGTAATCGTACTTCCTTGTGATGCACTGTTTGGAACCTTTGGTATAGTAATGAATATTACTGGAGTTTTATTCCAACACCAAACCGTTATTTCAACACTTCGACACGTGTTTCGATCACCAAGTGATCATCTTCAAGACGAATATTAAACTAAACTAGATGATCACTTGGGAGCGAAACACGTGTCGAGGTGTTAAAATAAAGGTTTTGTGTTGGGATAAAACTGAGTTTAATTTTCCTTTTGAAGATGATCACTTGGTGATCAAAACACGTGTCGAGGTGTTGAAATAACGGTTTGGTGTTGGGATAAATCTCCAGTATCATTTGTGAGTGTACTCACTTGTTTGATTTTACGGCGAGAATTCTAGGACTTTCTAATGATCTTCAGTCAATTCCTGGCCGTAAAATAAGCATTAATTTTCAAAACAAAAAGCCAATTCACTTACACGTGCTCTAACGAGGAGGACTTACAGTAGATACACTGGGTTCTTGTTTTTCATGTTCTCTTAATAGCTGAAGCAATAGAACACTCCCGAGTTCTAGTAGTAGTATTGTCTCTTTAAGTATTAAAGTGTCTGATTAAGGTTCAAATCAGTAACGTAGCCAAGAATTTCGTTCGAGGGGTCCAAAACAGTGAGGTCCGGGGATATCCCCCAGGAAAATTTTTGAAATACAACTTACTATATTGTGTTTTATACAAATACACATGAATAAGTGTTGTAGTTTGTCAAGGGCTTCAAACTTTTTCAAATAAAAAAGAGTTATGAGCGACCCCAGAAAAAAAAATCACTAAATGAACAAGTACAAAGGTTGATTCAGGTAACGAAATCAAGGTAAACTTCAATTATCCTCCTTGTTGTACTTGGCTGTTTTTATTTCATAAATTATGTTGAAGAGTTTATTTATTTTGGAAAGTAATATTAGAGTAAACTAGAAAATATGCATTTAACATAATATTTATGATGGCATCAAATGAGACAAGCAATTATTTTAACATTTTATTAAAAAAAAAATAGGTACATAAACGTAAGTTTACAAACTAATGTGAACCTTGTGGTTGCACACTTGCAGTCAATATATTAATTCTTGGTGATATATTATCAGAAAGAGACACCCTCAACTCAGGTTCTAAGTTAAGTTTGGAGCGATATTTTGTTTTTAAAGCAGTCAATGTGGAGAAAGCTGTCTCGCACAGGTATGTAGATGCGAATGGCAGCAATTTCAGCAGAGGTGTTTTGTATTACAGTTGATATTCCTTTTCCATAATTATCCAGAACTTGGATAGATCCGTGGTTTTGAAAATAGATAGAAGGATTTCATCGGACAATAAATCGATCAGCTGCTCCTTTTCTTTTAAGTTCATCTTCACAGTGTTAAGATCACAAGTGAATGGATTGATTATCCATTGGTCGCCGTGTGACGTATCTGGGAATCGTATTACCATGTCTTGCTTAAGGTTTGTAAGATGATTTTGGTTTTGATTTCTTCTTCGAGATTTATATTGTTTTCTTCAGAAAATTTCTCCAAACATGCAAACATCTCGTAGTTTTCAGCACTGATTTCGTGTATCCACAAACTTATTTTCCTACAAAAAGCTTTTATTTTGTTAGCCAAAATCAATACATTTGTACTCTTCCCTTGCAACGATTGATTCAAATCATTAAGTTTTTCAAAAATGTTCGAAAGATAGCCAACTATTGCCAGCCAATTTTCATTCAAGAAATATTCCGCTAGCTTTGGTTCACGTTCAAATAGAAATATTCTGATTTCATCTTTGAGATCAAATACACGTTGGAGTATTTTTCCTCGCGATAACCACCTGACCTCCGTATGTAATAGTAGATTTTCGTATTCTGATCCCATTTCGCGACACATTATTTTGAAAAGGCGACTGTTTAATGCGCGAGCTTTAATAAGTACAGGTCCTTGTTGACTTTTTTGACGACCCCATAAATATCTTTCGCGACCCCACATGGGGTCGCGACCCCAGGGTTGCGGACCGCTGCTCTAAGTTACAGCACTAATCTCCTATTTCCACTTCTTACCATTTCATCGATTTCTTCGTCACTGGTGATTGGAGCTGGATAATAAATAGACAGTAGAACAAGCCCATTCAATCGTTCTCCACTCATAGAATTCCTCAGATAGCTTTTTTTATCACCGCCATTCACTACTCGAGCGGCCGAGTAGTGTCCTTTGATAATTTATGATTTAAACAAAAGGACAAACCAACAATCGTATGATAATTTAATGTTTGTACACAAGAGTAATGATAACTTTTCTTTTCTTTCACCAGCTCCATGCCTAATTCATTTTTCAATATGCCTTTAAATTTCGGGAGGGTCCGGACCCCCCGGTCCATCCTTCGATACGCCACTGGTTCAAGTATTGCTTTGAAGAAATGTTCACTTCATTAAAATAGCCTGGACATGCATAACTTATAAAAAAGTAATAGTCAAACCCGATGATAGCAGTTTTTTTCAAATATGCCTTCCAGAAATTATTGTTAAATATTTATTTCAGCCGGGGCAGAATGTTGTAACAGCGCCAGAAATGAAAATTGTAAACAATCATGTGTCGAGATTTTCCGTAGCGAGTTGTCACCTAATAAATTCCAGAGACAAAAGTTGATTGATCATTGTGAGCATGACAGCCCGAAAGTTACCGAATGTATAAAAGATATGGTCAAGTATACTCCTGTAAAAACTACCCAAAAACGTAAGTACTCCATTTCAGTATAGATACAAGAAATATTGATGAGAAGCAGTGAGATTGTTGTTGCTGTCTCAGATAATTTTCTTAATTTGTTCATTTATGTAGCACACTAAGTCTGAAATCATTTTCCTTTTGACATTTATTGATTCGACAATTCAGTTTGAGCAAAATACTGAAAATTTGATATTTCAGATCTCATGTGCTGTGATAAATCAAATAATATTAAATGTAGGGAAGCTTGCAAGAGAGTTTTGTCAACAAGGAATACGATGGAAGAAATAATGGATGGCCTTCAATTGGGAGGTTGTGGATTTCCTATGCCTCAAGTAAGTTATTTTAATAAAGTTAACTTTATTATTTAAATGGTGTATGTGTGCTTTTACTTTATATTTCACTGAATTTTTGAAAGGTGTACATTATTGTTCACTCAAAACGAAAATATAGGGATACGAAGAAACAGTGATGCAAAGGTAATTTTCATATGTGAAGGTACTCCTTTTTATCCCATGGGGGCACCCCAGTTGGAATATTTGAAAATCCTTATTGCCCATCAGCGATTTGAATCGCTGGAGATTAAATCCATTTGAAAAAACGTTCTCAGGAAGTTTATTCCACATAAACGAAGTTCTTCTAGTGAAAGATGGCTTGAACAGCAGAGTTCGAGGTGTACTGAGTTGAACCTCAAAAGGATGAGCAGCCACAGTCCGTCACGTATTTCTGATATGTACGGTTGGTGGAATCAAATGTGCTAAGTCATACAGGTATTCGTCTATTATACGAAACTATCGTCTATATTGTTTCAGATAGAGAAAGGTCTCTCAATGCTCGAAATTATCATCGATTTATGATTTTAACGATTTCCAGACCTGACTAGAAACACCAGGCTGAGGAGTACCATAAACCATATGGCTGTACTAGGCACAACACTACTTGAAACCAACATCAGAAATTATTTTCACATACCCAAAACATGCTTATCTCTACGTCTGAACTCGTTTGAGATTTTGGGGCTGAGATTATATAATGCACTTCCGGAGTTTTTCAACATTATAACCAATGAACAGTATTCAAACATGAAATAAAACAACTACTTTTTTAAATCAGTCTCCATACAATCGATGAGTTTTTCTCTTACCCTCATTTGTAGAAAATGTTTTATTTTTTATCATTGCTGCTTTGTTCACTCACTTGATTGTTTTAATACTTCCTGTTATTTATGAATGTGTTTGTCTTTTATATTTGTATTTGATATGTACTGACTTATCCAATTGTTTTTTCAAGCTCATTTTGATGGATCAATAAACAAAACAAACAAACAAAGGAAAGAAATTATAAATTGAAAGCGTAATGTCTTGGTGTTATTTTTGACCAACAGTTCAAATTCTCTAAACAATTAGGTGTCGTCGCCTTAAAAAACTATTTATGAAGGGAATACTTTGCAATTATCTTGTCCTCTCGCATACTAACTATGCTGACATAGTTAGTAAACCTTGTTATTACATGAAGGACGTACAAGATTGCAAAAAATGCAAAGTCAATGCATTATTTTCATAAAATACCCACTAGCACATAATACCTACATATTAAGGAATTGCAAATTTTGGAATTGGATGAAACGCTTTTTCTTCATTACGCTTCTTTTTCCAACAAGATCTTGGCTAATAAACTACCCATCGTTCTTCACTTTCCAAGGATCCTTTTCTTATTTAGCAACTTTCATGCTAAATAATATGCCCTCAGAGTGTTGTAATTTAACTACTTCTACGCTGAAGAAATATCTCAAAGAGTCTATCCTGAATGCTGGCCAGCGGAATTCAATAAAATTTCAGATTGTTTGTCTCATATAATTTTCACTTGTTTTTGTGGCCTTGGCTGATATAATTTCAAATGTACTCAGTTCTTTCTGAGGTGTACTGAGTTGAACCTCAAAAGGATGAGCAGCCACAGTCCGTCACGTATTTCTGATATGTACGGTTGGTGGAATCAAATGTGCTAAGTCACTTGAAAACTTCCCGTGAAAGTATCTATAGAAGATAGACAAATTTCCAATCCAATCTTTCTTCGATGTTCCAGACTATCAAGGTTGCAAGTGATGTTCGCGTCTCCAATCAGGTGTATGGCTCTTTTCTGGATGAAATCCAGCAGCTTCAAAGTATGCTTAGGGGCGGAGAACAATACTCTATCAGTCTATCAGAACAATACTCCAAAGAAGGTCTGATCTGAGCTTCATAAAGCATTAAAAGTTGCTGTGGTGTGTTCAGGTTTCTGGTTCGGAACAGTGTTCCAAACTTTTGAGAAGCAGCCTTTACAATTCCAGCGACATGATTGCAGAAAGTAGAAGTGTCTGTCGTGTCATTACTATACCCGGTTCGGAGACATTCATTTTTTTGGAGAAAACCGATGCCAGGCTTTTTGTGGCATTGAATTGAACCTGGTTACTTTCACCCCGATTCGAAATCACTTCTAGATCCTAATTTAGATATACAACCTCCTGCTGCCGATGAAGATGTGAATTCGGAGCCGATGTCCTGGAATCCAGATAGAATGACGAGGCAAGTGTGCTGTCATCAGCAAAGCAATGCTGTTTTTCCGAAGCTGATTTTTCTGCCATACAATAGAACGTTTTACATTTTGTCAAGGGGTTCACTATTATGTTTTACAAATTTTTGTGTATGATTTCAAATCTAAATGCTATATTAGTTCGTACATTTCATCATTTATATCTTAAAATATGAAAGCTACTTTTTAAGGAATATACCTAAAACACAAACATTTGTAAGATTCTCAACCGTTTTTCAAACGCACCCGTTAGACATACCATTTGTGGCAATTTACTTAAGAGTAACAAAAGACAGATCATTAAAAGAATACACAGTTAACCACCCGAGTCGAGATAAAAATAACTATTCTCGATAGAAGATGGATAGAAATTAAAATAATTTACGCGAGGCATTCCGTAAGTTTTTCAATTTTCATACTGCGTCGCCTCCAAAAATGAACTATAGATTGAAATTGAAAATAAATACATATAAACATCATTACATTTAAATACTTACTATATTTTTTCAACTATGTCTTGCTGAGATTCTGCACCTTTTTCATATCAAATGGGAGTATAGTCTATCCATTCCCAATTGGAACGGCAATAAAAATAAGAGTACAGTCATAAACATTTCTTGCCTGTGGCCCCTAGTCGCCCAGATAGTTAGTGAACGTGCTATCAAATGTAGTTGAGGAATAAAGGCTCGGCTAGCTGGACTGGCTGAATACTAATTTTTGTCCGTTTCAAAATATGTCTTTATCAGTGCCGTGTGTTCGTGGGGTTAGGTGAGGTAGTGAGTGGTTTTGCAAACCGATTTTTGAAACTTTTTCTAGAGATCAATTACCCTAACACCAAACTAGCTGAAGCTGAAGATGCTAACAAGGTTAGCATCTTCAGGAGAAGCAAATTGATACTGAATCTAAAGACAAGGGTTAGCTGCTTATATACCTGAAGTTTTTTGGTCCGATGTGGACTTTGTTTGTTAAATGATGGTAATCCTAATTGATTTTTCGGTAATTAACTAGTGGAAACACTACCTGAAAATTAATTTGTCAACAATAGATTGAAAAGCGAAATTATCGAAAAATCAATTAGGATAATCATCATTTAACAAATTACCACTGAAAAATAATATGCCGACGCCTATGTCGATGCGGGAATTCCTTATCTGTGCTGTTCCAATTGGTATTGGAAAAATACTATAACAACTTTAATAATCCCAAGAAACATACATGTCATTACAGGTAATTGAAAATAAACTTTACTGAACATTTTATTATTGACTTCCTCTGTGTTTTTAGAAGCATAAACTAGTGTGGCAGAAAACAGTTTCAGTGAATTTACTTCAAACATCGAAATTATTGGAAAAGAAAGGTTTTGGCTTTTTACTTTTCCATCTTGATAGAAAAAAACGTAGGAATCATCTAAAGAAAGGAAGGAAGCATTCAATTTTAAAAACTTACCTCTATACAAAAATGTGTAGATCATGCAAAGAAGTAACTTTCGACACAAATTGGAAGAAAAAGCTCCTCCGAAACAGCTATTTTCATATAAACATACTTTCATATAAAAGCTGAATTATACAAAAAACACTTTTTTTTTATTCCGTTGGTTTTCCAAACTTTCGTAATGGAATCGAATCAGATATCATTCACAGGATTCCTACACAATATAAATAATGAAAGAAGTAAAATTTCATTTACATGAAACACTGTCATCCTCACTGCTAGACATCCGATGTTTCGCCGTGAGATACTTGCCTTATCGGCTCTTTAGTAGCAAATAAGGATAACAATTGAAAAAAACGTCTAATTGGTTATAGGAAATACGACCTTTTGTCACGGAATTAGTTGAATTCGCCCGTGTAATCGATGACAGTACGTAAATTTTCAGTACGTAAAAATTTTCCAAAGAAAGGAAGGAAGTAATCAATTTCAAGGAATTACCTCTATAACAAGATTTGTAGATCATGCAAAGAAGTAACTTTCAGACACAAACTGAAAGAAACAGCCATTTTCATGTAAACATAGAATTATACAATTGCCAAATACTTTCAAAACGAATACTTTTTATGAAAGCTGAATTATATGAAAAACACTTTTCTCTATTCCGTTTGCATTTCAAACATTTGTAATGGAATCGAATAAGACATCATTCACAGGATTCCTACATAATGTAATCAATGAAAGAAGTAAAATTTCACTTAAAAGGAACATTGTCATCCTCACTGCTAAAAATCCGATGTTTCGCCGTAAGACACTAGCTTTATCGGCTCCTAAATATATACCCTTTCAATTTAATCGAAATAATGTGCCCCTCAATTCATGGGTCATGCGCATCAAGACGCCCAGGAGTTCCTTCGTTATCTTTTAGAAGGTTTACATGATGACGTTAATAGAATTATTGAGAAACCTAAACCGACCTTAACGGAGATTAACGAAAAATTGAGCGACAGAAAAGCACAAAAGTCATGGTTGATTTATTTAAGTACATATAACTCTAAGATTGTAGATAATTTCGTTGGTGAATTAAAATCCACGATGAAGTACACACATTGTGGATACTCATCTGTAACCTTCGATCCTTTCTGGGATTTGTCACTCCCCATACCAGAAAGAACTAACCAATTGAATTTATCACAGTGCTTGCATTTCTTCACAAGAGAAGAAACTTTGGATGGACATGAAAAACCGACGTGTTAAGTTGCAAAGAAAGAAGAAAATGCACAAAGTCTTTATCAATCCATAAGTTTCTCCATATTTTAGTTATTCATTTCAAAAGATTTTCTCTAACAGAAAGATTTAGAGTCAAGTTAAATGTTGCCATCAAATTTCCTCTAGATGGATTAGATATCAACAATTATGCAGCAGAAAATGTGACTCCTTGTCGCTATAATATATATGCACTTTCGAATCACAGTGGGTCTACCTAGGGAGGACATTATACAGCATTCTGCAGACATCCTTATAATGGCACGTGGCACGAATACAATGATTCACAAGTGTCACCAATTTCACCAAAATCGCTTGTGAGTGGAGATGCATACATCCTCTTTTATGAAAAGGAGGAAACGAGTTCGCACCTTTGAGCGTTTTGTAAAGTTATTTTTGAACTGTTCATTTTAATGTTATGTATTATCTTGGGTGGGGTGGAGTACTTGATTGTCATCTGGAAAAGGTGAATGTATTGCAAAAATGGATTCTGAGAATTATTCACAAAAAAAAAGTAACCGTTCCCTCTAACGAACTCTTTCTTTTGAGTGGAACACTAGATATAAGACTGCTTTCTCCTTTTCTATCTTGATACAAAAAAATGTGGAAATTTTCCAAAGAAAGGAAAGAAGTAATCATTTTCAAGGAATTAACTCTATATCTAGATTTGTAGATCATGCAAAGAAGTAACTTTCAGACACAAACTGGAAGAAAAAGCTTATTTTCATGTGAACATAGAATTATACAATTGCCAAATACTTTCAAAATGAATACTGAATTATATGAAACACACTTTTCTCTATTCGTAATGGAATAGAATAAGACATCATTCACAGGATTCCTACATAATATAATCAATGAAAGTAGTAAAATTTCACTTTAAAGGAACATTGTCAACCTCACTGCTGAAAATCCGATGTTTCGCCGTAAGACACTAGCTTTATCGGCTTCTAAAAATATACCCTTTCAATTCAATCGAAATTATATGAGGAAAAGTGTAGGTACCAGAATAGATCCCTGCGGCACGCCACATGAATCTATCTCCTAAACATAGGGCTCGTTAAAACTGAAACATGGTAAATGTAACACAAATTAACCATAAACTCATTAGTACACGTGTCGCGGTTTTTGTGGAATCCTTTATAGTGAAAATCATAAAATTAACTATATTTATGAGTTTCAATATTGATTTGCATCCCAGTTCTATTCAATTATCAACCATATTTGATTTCAACACAGACATGAAGATGCGAGTTGAAGAGTATTGGCATACTCAAAATTACTGAAAAAACATTTACTTTTTGAAAGTAACTGATTATACCTTGACTTGAAAATGAAAATAGGGCTCTCTTAGACACTTAATTCCAATAGTTTGAATTTGATCAACTAATGATTGAATAGTTTAAGATTTGTCAAGATTATCTTTCTTCTGATGTGATCGTTCTGAATGTTCATGATACCTTGTAAAATGTTATTTCTTTTCTTTTCTAGGAATACTTTTGGCAATGTTTTCTGAAGCCTGACGCGAGTTCTGTTTCCAATTCTGTAGAAGTTTCGAGGATAGAAAGAGTCGGAATGGACAGCGCTAAATGGCACTGTTGCCAAAGAGCTAATTCAAGCCAGTGTTCCAGACTTTGTTCTAAAACTTTCACCAAATTTTGGGCAACTTCTTGGGAAGATTTTCACTATAAGTGTCTTACTCAAGTGACGGAAGAAAGTCTGCGTTCCTGTATAGATGAAGGTAAAGTAGATTTCATTAATATATTCCTCTGCAATTTGGATAAACACTGCAGAGAAGGTTTGGTTTTATTTTCAGGTAATTTACATAATTTTTAACGTTTCGGACTGAAATTTATTGATCATTTGTTGAATGTTTAAACAGAGAGCGTATATGAAAAAGCGATAAATAATTATGATAGAATCAGATACAAAAACAATTCTTATTTTTTATGCTATCATTCATCTTATGTATAACATGAATTTTTTTTTCTCAGTGGATGAACCTTGTGAGTTGGGTTGTGACGGCCTCAGCTTTTGTACAAACTTCAACAACAGACCGACAGAACTATTTCGATCGTGTACATCGCAGGCGGATGAAGAGGCAAGAAATAATGTAGCAAAATGGCAGAATCAAAATAACATTACACTTAGTGAGTATTTATATTCGAAACTTTTAGAAAGTAGACTAAAAGGCAGTTCACTGTTCGATAAACAAAACAGAGACAGTTATCAACAGTTCTGTGATTGAGTTCTAATAAAATCTAGATAAATACATTATGAAATATTGTTTTTTGAATTCTTCGATTCCCATAATTTCTAGAATTGAGTTTCGAACCTTTCTTCTGGAATTTAAGAGTTCTGTCATGTTTTTTAGGGCATAATTTGGTTCTTCACTTTGCTGTTCCAGTTGTCGATAAATTCCTGCCGCTGAACAAATATTTCCTCTGCAACACCATAATTATAGTGTATTTCTTCATATCGACTAAGAGAATAACTTATGTTGCTGTACAATAATACTCATCATCAATTCTGGTCCAAAAAACACGTACATGTCGGTAGTAGAAGAGAGTACAAAAAGGAAGAACCTGATTTTTTTTATGCAGGCAAAATTAACTCCGATCAGCGAGAGAAACTGAGAGAAGTCAACATAAACTTTAGAGAAAACGCAAATGCTTCTTGAGGATCAAATCATAATTGTTAAGACGTTGTAGATGCTTTAGGACGACATTTCAAAAATTTGTTATGAAATGATAAATGGTACTGAATTTCTATTATTAATCTAGTAGCAATACTCCGTTCTACTACTTCACTGACACGAAATTTTATGTTTTGACATTTATCAATATTCTAATATATCATTATTTCAACTTATGTTTCACCATAAACTTATGTTATGTGTTGCATTGCATTCTTGGCATAAGCTTTCGACCTTCCCATTAGTTTGGCGAAGGAGCAAAGAGCTTTGGAATTTGATTTATTAATATAATTGGACGGTTCTGTTAAAATCTGTTTTTCCGTTAACCCGCTTTTTCTGAATTATTTTTGGTAAGATTGAGGTATTTCTTCACTGCCTTAGGAATGACAAAATGGCAATAATAATTTGTTCATCAAATAACTTAGAAAATGTCCACGCCAGTACTTTCGGAAATTACTTTCAGCAAATAATTGCCTATTAGGTAGAGCATTGTTTTGTGTTTTCATAGAAGCTCAGGGTTTGTATAGTCACCAAGAAGCTATGGATTCTCATTTAGATTTTTTATTCTTCAATGTTGAGAATTCAACTGCCTTCCTCTAACATCAATTTTTCACTTCTGAACAATAGTTTTACAACTTGAATTCTATAAAAAATCGGATAACACACATGGGGTATATTCTGATATTCTTTGATGCAAAGAATTCAATTTTCATTTTTTGACATCAGGGTTTCAATTACTCTGTATAGCTACATCCTAGAAGATACAGAACTCTGAAGTTGTCTCTACGTGAGTGATATTTTTAAAAGCCAGTAATGCACCAATTTTTTTAAAATAAGGATTTTAGAAGACTACGCGACGTCGCCCTTTCCCATGTTTAAAAATATCGGACGGACGGTAGCCGGTCGGTTCGACGTGGATGCCTTGTTCACTCACTCAAATCGACCGCCGTGTTAGTCACTGGTTCAAGCCCCACGCTGAACGATCGATTTTAACTTGCTATCGTCCAACCCGTGTTAGAAATCACACTTTAAAAGGTAAGACCTCGTTAGTCGTAGCTCGCACAAGTTTCGATTTCTGAGGGCTGTCGTTCGTAGGGGAGCGACAGCTGGTTAACGGAAAAATAGATTGTAAACAGATTTTTTTAGAAAGATATGTTTTTCCATTAACCAGTTGTCGCACCCCTACGAACGAAAACCCTCAGAAGTCGAAACTTGTGCGAGCTTAGGACTAACGAGGTCTTGCCTTTTAACGTGTGATTCCTAACACGTAACATACGTTAATTAACTGTGAACGAGTTACAACTAATTCGAAATGTTTGAACAAATAGCGAATTGAAAAACAGGAATCTATGAATATGGACATAAAAATTTGCAGTTGTTATAATCAAGTATTAGTAGTATTATTAGTCATATTTATATTCTATGGTATCTTTTGAGGAGTTATGAACTGGACGGTATTTGTTCAATTTGCAACTAACTGGTTTAGGATCACTTTACACGTTTCCTCATTACAGTTTGATTTTTGAGAGATATCAGTTGTAATGTATCGTAGATTGTCAATCCAACATCAGGTAAAACAGTGGATAATCCTTTAATGTATGAGACGAACAGTACCGGACCAAGTACAGAACCTTGCTGCACTCCCAGTTACGATTCTGCGCTTGATGATTTCATATCACGAGCCTATTTTTTTGAGGTGTACATATAGAAAATATTTTTATTTTCTAGCTCCCGGACTAACTCTTCCCCTGAAAAGCATGTCCAAATGCTCACCGAACATCTGGAAAACCGTAGCTTGCACGCTCCAGATCAAACCGTGTTCCAGGGCATCTCACGCTAACCAGATCTGTCGGAACGTCTGCCTCGATATTCTTTCGCAGTGCGTGGACTGGACCAGAGTTTCCCCAGAGTACTCCGCCGAATCGATTTGCGAAACTTTATCGCCTGAAGATCCCGATGATTCTTGCGTGGAGCTGGACCACTATCTGACTCCTTCCTCGTACGAGTTTTCGAGGATAACCGGACAGGTGTTTAGTCCTTGCAAGGGAAATCCATGCGAGGCGAACGAAATTTGTTTGCTGAACCGCAATTGTATGCACGGGATGAATTGCAAGCCGTATTTATGTCAACCTGGTTGTAAGCTGGGTAAGTATGTCACTAGAAGGCTTTCTTTGTAACTAGTTGAAGAGTACGACTTTTGAGATAATTCAAGTGTTTTATTTCTTTGGTACTTGTTTCGCATACTTTTGTACATCGACTTTCAAGAACTCACTTTCTTTTACTGCCACTTATAGTTGAAATACCTTTTTAAGAAATTGTGACCAATATTTTTGTTTTCAGTTCTCTTTATTTCTGTTTGCTTTGTTACTCCTCAACCCTTTCATCCACTTCATTGCGAATTCTCAATAGCAGATTTCCATTTATAAAGCAAACGATATATTGTCGAAAGGTTTTTCTATTGACTCAAAATAAGTTATAATATCCGGCTCGAAGGACTAATGAATAATAAATTTTTTCACAAAAGAATCAGGAAAATTTCATGAGAACTCTGAGTAATCCCATCATTTTGTCATTAAAAATGTAGAAGTGAAATATATAAGAAATACCAACTACTTTCATTCTACGGTGGAAACTTTGTTATATACCTTCATTGCCTGGAAAACTGTGAAGCGTAAGTAAATGTCAAACCTTACTTTACATATTGAAAAACCAGCAATACTGTTTAGTCTGAGAACCCTTGATGAGTAGGAATGCGATGATCAGATAAACTTAAGTTGACTTCAAATTTGCACCTGCCAAACCTAAATGAAGATAAAGATGCAGACATTAGATACATTGTTTGGGTATAACATCAAAGAGGTGTTTTCTTTTTGTATCACATTCATCAAATCCAACCAGTTTAAAGGGTAAGGGAGCTAGGCTCCAACCTGAAAAAAATCAAGATGAAACAAGTACTTAGTCATCAAATCCATGATGGTAACATATATAGAATCATACTACTGTATACAAATACACACCAAATCGAGAAAGGCGAAAGATTAATCATATATCAACTATGGAAGGAACTATATATTTTAAATCTTCATGTTCATGTAATATTTCAGATTATAATCTGTCAGTAGTAATACAAATAATTCTATATTTCAAAAGAAAACAAAGGAAATTCTGTTAAATATACAGGGTACATCACGACGACTGTCGGTCATCAAACAATATTAGAATTAATTTTCTGAATATTGGCAAATATAGATTTTTTTCATATTCTTTATCGAATGAAAATAATGGCTTTGTGATGGTACCATCTTCCTTAATTCAAAAGCAGAACTCAGTGTATTTTTACATTTTTGAATACCTGGCATTCATCAAAGTACTTAATTTCTTTGTCTTGTAGGAGTAAAATTTCCAAAATGTTCTACAAGGTGTTCGGAATCGATGACTAATTCTGAAGATTTAAAAATGGGCCAAAACTCGGTTTTATCAAATAGAACACCATGTATTTCAGGATAGCTTCTAAATTCCGAATAGTTACAGAAAGTTCATTAGAGATAATAATTTTCCGTCATAGTTTTTATTGAAGACAAGATTTCATATTGAGAACGTAATTGGATATGTGAAAGCAATGGAAATTATTGACGAGGGAGATACATACAGATTGCAGACAGAGATATAGAGCTTTCAAAAACATATTAAAATTAGAAGCTATCTGATCTGCACGTAAATGAAAAACCTTCATGTTTGTCAAGCCATTTAGTGGGACACCGATCGAGCACAATCTGATTTATGCGATAGAATACCCAGATTGAGTAGGTTTCTAGAAGACACACAGGTATTCGTCTATTATACGAAACTATCGTCTATATTGTTTCAGATAGAGAAAGGTCTCTCAATGCTCGAAATTATCATCGATTTATGATTTTTACGATTTCCAGACCTGACTAGAAACACCAGGCTGAGGAGTACCATATGGCTGTTCTAGGCACAACACTACTTGAAACCAACATCAGAAATTATTTTCACATACCCAAAAGATGCTTATCTCTACGTCTGAACTCGTTTGAGATTTTGGGGCTGAGATAATATAATGCACTTCCGGAGTTTTTCAACATTATAACCAATGAACAGTATTCAAACATGAAATAAAACAACTACTTTTTGAAATCAGTCTCCATACAATCGATGAGTTTATTTCTTACCCTCATTTGTAGAAAATGTTTTGTATTAATTTTCATCATTGCTGCTTTGTTCACTCACTTGATTGTTTCAATACCTCCTGTTATTTATGAATGTGTTTGTTATATACTTTTATTTGTATTTGATATGTACTGACTCATCCAATTGTTTTTTTTCAAGCTCATTTTGATGGACCAACAAAAAAAACAAACAAAGGAAAGAAATTAGAAATTGAAAGCGTAATGTCTTGGTGTTATTTTTGACCAACAGCTCAAATTCTCCAAACAACTGTGTGTCGTCGCCTTAAAATGGAATACTTTGCAATTATCTTGTCCTCTTGCATACTAACTATGCTTATATAGTTAGTAAACTTTATTTATTACATGAAGGGCGTACAAGATTGCAAAGAATGCAAAGTCAATGCATTATTTTCATAAAAGTGGTTCCCCACTAGCACATAATATATCTTACATATTAGGGAATTGCACCTTTTGAAATTGGATGAAACCCGTTTTCTTCATTACGCTTCTTTTTCCAACAAGATCTTGGCTAATGAACTACCCAAATACCTTGCCTCAAATATAGTTCGAAGGGAGGACAACAGATCACTTAGGAACATATTCCATCGTTCTTTATTTTCCAAGGATTTTTTTTCTATTTAGTACCTTTTAATGCTAAATAATATACCCTCAGAGTGTTGTAATTCAACTACTTCTAGCCTAAAGAAAATCTCAAAGAGGCTATCCTGAATGCTGGCCAGCTGAATTCAATAAATTTTCTGTTTGTTTGTCTCACATATATTTTAGTTGTTTCTGTGGCCTTGTCACAATGTCGTTCATCTCTTCAACATTAATCACATGTACCACGTTTCTTTCAATAGGTGAAGTTTCCCAGTACATGGTCCCGGATAAAACCCTAGTCAGAATACCAATTCCCAACAATCCAAAGGGTTGCCTGAAGATCTGCAAATGCAACAAAAACAACATAGAGGAATGCCAGCCGTTGCTCTGCGTCACGCTGACTTCTTGCCTACTTGGGAACACTCACCAATTGCATGGAACCATTTTCAACATGGATTGCAACCAATGCAGCTGCTATGCGGGGGAAATAATTTGCAGCAAGAAACAATGCGAAAGCACCGCTTTGAGCGGCAGGAATACTGCTTATACAACACTTCCTTGTAACTGTCCTCCTCATTATGTGCCTATTTGCGGAAGAAATGGAGTGACTTATCCTTCTGCATGTTTAGCCAAGTAAGTCATTTTTCAGTAACACATTTTCAATTGCTTTTGAATTTGTTACACTTCATTATGAGATTTTCTCCGAAAAGTTCACAAAACCGCAACACATTTTTCACTCTACAATAGCTTCTTCATGCGTGTTTAATACCACTCTTAAGAAACATATTGTATGGTGTTATACATGCTGAGGTCTTGTGAACTGTACATTGAAAATATCACAATAACGTGGGTCTGATATCTTCATCATATATTTCCAAGTATCGATCAATTCTAGCACATAACTTTCTTATTTTCTTCTCAACTCAATCATTCATAGATATGTCAATAAGAAAAAGTGAATATAGTGGATGTTTCAAATAAACAAGGAATAATTGCTAATATTAATGGACTTCTCTATATACTAATCCGGCTTGAGATATTCTAACCCAAAACAATTTCAAAATATCAGAGGAAAATTTGCAGAAAATATCTGAAATGCCTATTTTGGTATCCCCATCTTCTTCTTGAAAGTCTGTTGTCGACTGAATCATTTTGAGTTTTTCCCATTTCTTTATGTATCTCTTTCATACACAAGTTGGAATAAAGGACCTACTTCAAACTCTTTTCTTTTTAGTCAATATGAGACTTTCGGGCTTATCAGTAACCCAATTTTTGGTGGTATTTTTCATCATGTCCAATATTTCTTTTGTTTCCCTTATCATATATATATACTTTTTTCGAAAAAATATCCTCTGATGTTAACACTTTGTGTGATCGTGAAGCCTTTCTTAGCGGGATGAAACCATCATGAAAGTCTTTTCTACTTTCCTGGTACCAAAACTAGCATATTGAGTTAGAGTATTGTTATACGAGTAGTTATAGTTACGTTAAATCTTCAACTATTTTTTTGTAGAAAAACAAACTTGAAATTTTACTTAAATACGCATACAGGTTGAATACGTATTGACCTTCCTTTATTTACAATATAAAACGCCTATTGTGGTGATAACTCCTAGTACACCAATAACCTGCCGAGGGCGTCAAAATCAAAAGTTACGCAGTGATCATTCACATGGATGAATTTCTTATAAAATTGCCTTTTCTACTTTCTACTTTTCTTCATTCTAATTCGTTATATCAGTTGAAGTTATGATAGAAAGATGTTCCTTCAATTCAAAATCGGCCTTTTCTGCATTTTTTCCCAGCAAATGTGTCTTGAAGATATTCGACCTGCTTCGTTTTCGGTATGGCAAACTGTATAAGAAAATACTCAGAAAGAGCATTTTGGTGTGCATACTTGAAATTCAACATTAGAAAATGAACTGTTTTTATAAAATACTCGTAATATAGCAATAACAATTTGCAACACAGTCTTTGTATATTTGATTCTGGTAGTTTCAAACAATTTCTACCATTAGTTAAGCCAGGCAGTCATTTACCAGAACTGTGTAGGTAGTTGGGAGAGATGAATATTTCGAGTTTTTTTTCGAAATATTTATTCACTTATCAGTTAAGGAGAACACTTTGAGAATGACATTTTCAGCTGACAGTTTTTAACGTAATGCCAGGAATATCTCTATCCCACATACATCATAGTCCACAGAGTAGAGAAATGACGTCTTTGTTCAAATGTACCCAAGACTTCCTTACACCTGTGTTTGTGAAGATGATAAAGCTTCTAAACTCAAACACTATTGATTACAAACTAACATGGTCTATGAATGAATAAATCAGGAAGCAGAAAGAAATCAATTCATTCATGATGTAGTTTTGAAGAGCCCTAAATACTTGATATAACTCAGAGCTACTACCCAAGACTATATAAGAAAGCATCGGAAATTCAGAAACACAAAATAAATTTTAACCAAAAGGAAAAAGGAATCAACAATAATTAACTCTAGGCCCAAACCGTTAATGTAGTTTCTCCATGAACACTTCATTCATTATCTCATTGCCTTTGATAATGTCAATCGCAGTCGTAGATGGAACGTCTTAGCCATTAAAATATGCAATCAAAAAACCTGGAAATGATTTCGTCCCAGTCTGTAAGCATCTTTGCTGAAACTGCAGAGTAAGAGGTCTCTTGATCAAGTGTAGTTCATCTTTCTGAATATTTCGGGCAATGGTGATTTTCTTTGTTATTTTGTCTAGACCAAACAGTTCTTTTCAGAAACAGGCCAGAAGTATTCACATATATGAGTGCCAATGTCTTTTAGATTTTAGCATTATTGTACTGAACTGCGTGTATGGGTTTAGTTATCTAGAACAATTATTATACATATAATACAACTGTGTACTAAACTGTACATCAATTACTAGTCATTTACATTAAAAACTGCCTTATTTCTTTGAGATCCATTTTAGATTTCTGCCTGTTTCGCTTTTTCAATATTTTACAACAATATAACGATGATGTTCTCCTAGACAATTTACTGTGAATGTTTTGAACTCATTTGAAATGAATTAACATTGTATTATATAACTTTTTTTTGCAGATGTGCGGATTTGAACGACGCTGACATTGAACACTATCCATGCCAAAATCCTTGCAAACCCGATACATGCCCCGTCGGCCAGAAATGTGTTCCCAATTCTCAAGTTTGTCTGAGTCTGATGCACAAGCCATGCAAACAATACGAATGTAGTAAGTGTGATTATCGTAGATAATTAATGAAATGAACAATTAATTTGCACCAAATTTTTCGATGGAAAATAATACCTTTATTCGATTTATTGGTAAATGATAACAGGCTATTGCCTGGATCGATTACCACAAGGTATTTGATAATACATGGTTCGAGCTCATTTTGCGTCTGCCCAGATATTGTGTGATTCCAGACCAAGTAAGATGCCTTGAACAATTGATACCACTCTGGCTGACTCATTTTATCATAATGTCTGGTCAGGCTATAGTCAGCCCAAATAGGAGCATTTCTCTTCGAAGCAGCTGTCCAAGCGGCTGATGAACTCGGTTCAGTTTTCATCAACAAAAGAGGTGATCACAATTTGGTCAGCGAGTAAGAACCCGTTCAATGAAAGACCCATATAAAAGCCGTAGGGTAGACAAGTGGACTCGGAAGGAGTAACACCAATCAGACATGAAGTCACGAAAGAAAAAATGATGTACCTTCATAGTACCGTTCCAGAGTTATACATTTCCTGACAACTGAGAGGCCGTGGCCTTTTTGATATTGGAATGTCGTCATAATAGAATGGTTTTGGTTGGAACTTTTGAAGTTATCAGGAATTTGGATTATCTGCATCCGTGACCATAGAAAAGCAGGGTTTGCGGCAATTCTTTTCAAGATAACTGATCGTGCTGCCGATACATGTGGAGAAAAAAACTTTTACTTGCAAAGCCAATGGCAGTGCGCTGTATACAGTGTGTCAATTTGAAAACTTCCCACCCTCAATATCTCCCTTCCAGTACATAATATGAAAAAATGGTCAGACAGGTCAACTTTATTTAGTAAAAATATTGAATGAAAAATAATATGTTATTCCTGTTGAATTCGTTTGCGTTATAACAACAGCCGAATACAAATTGTTTTCAAAATAAAATTTTTAAATTCTAGTTAATGGTTCCTCAGACTGCTCCCTTTTACCAAAAGACCCAGTATGCGACATCGAAAATCGTGAATACGAGAACTCTTGTCTCTTGTCCCACCATAATGCCAAACTGGCGTACAGGGGCCCTTGCCTTACCAGATGCAGACATAAAGGTCAAGTGTGCGGATTCAATGGTAAAACATACATGTCGGAATGTGCTGCATTTGCAGATATGGTTGCAGTAGACTACGAAGGACCCTGCGTAGCAATTGGACTCATAACTACCATCAAGTCGAAGCAGTGTTCTGGTGTTAAGTGTCCCAAACTCCACAACAAAACTTGTATGGGTAAGTTGGTCGGAATAAAATTATCTCTATCTATTTTATGACTTGAGAGTCAGGTATAAGACAACCGACTGGTTTCAAAATACACAGAAACTAATTCTTACAAAATTACACCACTAAACACGATGGACCACTTACACCACATGACTTATTAGCTATTACCATTCATGAATTATCAACTAATTACACCACTTGCACGAAGGAATTCATAAAAATATTTTGACCATCTTGTAAGAGTAATGTGAAAATCAAAGTAGTCTGATGACTGTGTCGAACAGATATATATACTTTATGAACATGAATATTTTTAGTTGGAACTGAAAACATTTGCTTAAGTTCTCAGAGGAAATTCTTGCAGATGATTATTGTTCAATTAGCAGCAGCATGTTGCTGAAAATGATCAAGCGACTACCTATTGACCGGTTTCGGAATAAATCTTTTCATCAGTGCAGTACGGATCTAACTAACTGTGGTAGAAGTGCCGTCAATGTTCGTCATGGTATTCGTCAGATCTCTCTGTGTAGGAACGTTGAAAGAATTGATTCAAATTGGAAATATTTATTTTCTAAGAGAATTTCAGACATATTATCAAATTGTGAATCTTGGACTACCAACGTAGCAATTCAAACAGTTTCTTCAGTAATTTGACAATCATCAAAACTAAGACAATTTTCGTTTGACCTCACCTTTTTTTTTATAATTTTCAGGAATAACCCCACCAGGAGCATGCTGTCCTATCTGTGGCGGAGCCCTTCGATTACTCTACTCAAGAAAGCAAATAGACAGAGCGCTATATGCCCTGCAAAACCGAAGTACAAAATCTCTAAATCTCTACGCCCTATTGAAAGCTTTGGAAAGGCAAATTCAACTTGCACAATGTACCCTAAAAGGCTATTTAACCGTTGAATTGGATATTTTTGTGGCTGTACAAAGTACTGAACGGTAAGTTAATGAATTAACGTCAACAAACACTTTCATTTCAATTTATCTATAGTAGTGAGCCACAAATTATTATTGGAAAAATAATGTTTTTGCTGACTACGTGGTAATTTTGATAAAATCATCAAAAGGAACAATTTGTTCAGACCAGCCTCAACTACCTACATTGCAGGTTGATGGATGACACCTACCAGAAAACAACTACTCCCCTGGGTAATACCAAGAAGAGTGTTGGATTATATTCGACAGGTGTCAGTGCAGGATGATTTCCGATAATTGAAAATTATCGGAAAATTATTCAGAGTATCATTCCTCGAACTAGGCTGAAGCGAACAAAAAACAACATATTTGTCTTCGTCCTATCTGCCTGTGAACGAGGTAACCAACCGCATACATGATATTTGCCCAATTCCTCGTATAAGCAAGAAAAACATTTCCATATAGTCAGTGGGCATACTTGAAGACTGGCTATAAACACATCATCTAAAGGAACAATTCGTCCAGGTCAGTCTCAACTCCCTACACTGTAGGTTAATGGCCTGACACCGTTCAGAAAACAACTACTTCCCTGGCTAATACCACGAAGGGCGTTAGATTATATTCGACAGGTATCAGTGCAGGATTCTTCACTGAAATTATTCTTACATATGCTGTTGCCGATACAACTGCCGCAATAGATTTTCAATTATTGGAACACACTTGCAGTTGCCTGCACCATACTGATAATGGATCGAAAGCCCGAAACACGTGTCTATGGATTGCCCCTTTCTTGAGTGCTATGCCCTATAAATTATCGTGTGTTTCATATGAAGACAGTCAATAACTCAATAACCTTATTCATTGTTTGGCAGACAACAATTCTTTCATATACAAAGAGGCAACTTGGTTTGAATTGAAACAGAGAGGTAATAGAAATAGGGAAAAAATGGTTTGATAATAATTTATCAACAAGCAATTGAGAAAACACTAAATATTCAGCATTCACTTCATACAAAAACATTTTACCGAATTTAGGAACTTTTGCTATTGGAATTAATGAAATTTGTATAACTGATTGTTTTACATATTTAGGCATCATGATTATTAAAAATTCGAAATGGGATTCACATATCAGTTATCTGGTAAAAAAAATTGAGATATCTACTCCCGAAATTCAAAGTGTTGAAGGAAATTCCATATAATCATCAGCTTGAAACATTATATTATTCACTTGTGCAGTAACAACTGAATTTTGTTATATTAGGATAATAACGGACTCCTAAAATAATGTTTAGTTGTTTTTATTTGTTTCATTGACTCGATACATTATTACAAGATAAGAAACATTCAAAGAAACACATTCAATATTACCATTGTCTATATTATATTAAGATTATTAAACTATTTCAAAATCAATAGTAATAATAGAAGGTTGAATTGAAACTGAATAGTAATAATAACAATGAAAATTCAAAATGCTATTACATTCTATACCTGTAAAACTTTTTCTTACCTTTTTGAATCTGATATTCATGATTCCTTTACTAATCAGGGTCGATACTTTTATTGCGATATTAATGGTAATTTTAATGTTCATCAATATAGCTCAAAATCAGTTGGCATAGCTGCCATAAAGTTATTTGCTAAAGTCCCCTCGCTTTTCGGTAATTCTCTTTATCCAAATCTCTTTAAAAGCTTCAATAATAATAATGTCCGTTGTCACATTATGGGCGTTGCTCATTCAAGTTTCATTATATGTTACTTATTAGATTCTGAATATCCCTTCCTTGGAATCAAATTAACTTTTTGTGGGAATTTTCTGGTATTGTTGGGGCACTAATGGATTCTCTAGTGATTCTAGTGATTTTTAGTTATATTGTTTTCATAGGTCTCCAACTGCTTGCTTTGAGTTTTGAAATATTATCTTTTGGGTTTTCTGTTCCTCAGCAGCAAGATCATGATTGACAAATAAACTAAACCTTTGAGTTTTCTACCATTTTTGAAATTATTTTGTCCCACAAAAATGCTCGGAATTTTAACGAAATATGAAATGAATATTATTCACATCAAATTAGTTCCACAAATTTTACTCAGTTTCTCTTTATTTCAAATATAACGATATTTTGAATACATTCTCATAATGGAAAAGTTTTTGGTAGTTTTTTGCATTTGATTTATAAAACACTGTCGAAACTAAATTAGATGCATGTACTGTATTTTGCTTCTGTTTTTGACAAATTATTCTTCATTTGGAATATAAAAACGATATGTACTTGAAATCTCTCATACAGTAGCACTGCTTTTAGTTGAGTTACGACATGATTATCGTCATAAATTTCATTTTCGTGTTGTAGCAATGATTTTACGGATTTATTTGTTATGAAAGGCATTCAATGCAATGAATAGAAAACTACGTTTATTCATGACACTTCACTTCACAATATACATTTGTCAATTCCATCCATAATAAATGAAATAATAATTTTGTAATTTTCCTGGTCAATTATGATTGGAAAAGCAAAATGTTTTATGCATCATGTAAGTGATTTATTATTTTGATGAAAATTATCAATGCATCCAATCATAATGACAAAAGTACTTAGGTTAGGTTAGGTTAGATCCAAAGTGAGTGGGTCTATTCGACCCTCCACCACAACCCGAAAGGGTTAAGCTATTCACACTCGACCAAATAAACCCAGCTTCTTAATGAAGCCTAACTCTAAAACCCTGATTCGGTCGAGGCAGGCACAAAGTATGTGCCCTGCTGATTCATCATTTTCTAAACAGAGGCGATACACACTGTCTTCCGATAGCCCAAGTATCTGCATATGATAATTCATATGCAGACCTGTTAGACATCGTAGTTCATCCCTAGTGTGGTCCAACAACTGTTTGGTATCATAAACCCCTTCAGAAAGATTCTGCTAGAAGTCCATAAATCTTCTTGCCATCCAGGTGTTCAATCTTTGTTTGGCAAAGCCTAAAGCGATGCCAATGACAGGTTCTCGTCCAATGAAGCTGCTTGCAGCACCCTCCTTTGCAAGGGAGTCAGCAGCCTCATTGCCTTCCAGGCCAGTATGGCCAGGAATCCAGACCAGAGACAATCTGTTACGTCTTCCTATCAAGGAGAGTAGTTTTTGGCAATTTACTACCAATTTAGAAGTTGCTCGGTAGGAGCCAAGAGCTTCCAACGCCGCTTGACTGCCCGAGAATATTTTTATTGTCTTATGTATGAGGTTGGATTCTTCCAATCTCTCACAATTCAAAAGCGTAACAATCTCTGTCCTGGGTCTGCGACTGAAAACACCTGCATCAGAACAGGAAGGTGTTTTTGATCCATCTGTGAAACAACAACTATTTGCTCTTAATATTTCGTTCTCCCGAAGGAAGTGGAACAGTACTTTATAAGGCAGTTCGTAGTTGACAGTTGGAGGCATAAAGTCAGAGGTCATTTCCAGAATACTGTGACTTACACTGTCAACCAACAGTCTGTTGTACTCTGCAATAAATTGATTTGTGCAATTGGTCTATATGCAGTCCATCTAGCCTCTCTCTCCAGAGAAATGTGAAGAGAAGGTAGATCTAGGAGGATCTAAATGGCCGCTGACGTTGTGGTACTGAAGGCACCACTGATGGCCAGGCAAGCCTGTCTCTGTAAGCCAGAGAGCTTCGTCTGGGCCGTTTTCTGTGAAGCCTTAGCCACCAGGAAATTGCACCATAAGTGATCATTGGTCTGACAATCATCACATAAATCTAATGGATTTCTTTGGGACCTAAACCCCAATTTTTACCACAAATCCTTCGACATGTCCATAGAAACAGTCTGGCTTTGTGTAAAACTTTTTCCAAGTGAGCATTCCAGGTGAGTTTTCTATCAAGGACAATGCTAAGGTAAGGTATCACAGTTTTGCTGGGGTTGACAGATATCTGCTCCCTCAGGCACCAACTGTGAACAACGTCCATCGTGCTTTAGAGGATATTACAAGCTAGTGTTCCCGACGTGGACATTGCCAAGATGACAAGGTCATCTGCATAAGCTTGCAGATATACTTTTTTTCTGTCGAGGGCATCAACCAGATTATCCATCAGGAGCGACCACAGAAGGGAAGATAGTATCACATCTTGAGGATAGCCTCTGGTGACCCTGAACCTAATAGCCTCGCCTTGAAGAGTCGTAGTTGCAGTTCTGTTTACCAGCATGGCATAGATCCAGCCAGTAACGGTCGATTCTATACCTTTCCTAGCCAGAGATGATCCTATAGATTCAGGTAGTGCATTGTCAAATGATCCTTCAATATGAAGGAATACAGCTATCGTAATCTCCTTGTTGTCAAGGAATTGAAAAAAGTAATTACTGAAGCGAACTTTCTATATCGCTTTTCCCCTTGTATTGATGTTCCAAAAAATTATTCTCAAATTTATATAATTTCAAATATATTTTTCGTATTTCTGCACTGTTTCTCATTTCCAGGTATCCATCTGAATTACAACTTGAAGCGTGCCTAAGGGAAGCAGAAAAAATTGCAAGTTTAGTGAACATGCAAAGTCCCAGGGTCGCAAGCGAGCTGAGCCTCAGTTCTTTGACTGCTGCGAGTATCGTCCACACTGATCGTAATGGGAGTGTCAGAAGCCACGTTAATTTGAAGTGGTTATTTTCGACAGTTTTGGTTACCATATTGGTGGAAAAACTGATTTTCTGTATATGAAAATATCAGTTCAATAATTATATTACCTCGCTGCCAAAAAATATAAATATCGGTGATAAATCTGAATGTTTGACATTTTGTTTCTGTTGAATGAAACAGTCTATTTACCTACTTAAAGGTTGAGAACTGGTATTTTGGAAAGTGCATTCGGTTTCTCCATCAAATTATAACCGAAACAATTTTTTTGTTTAAGTGTAGTATAGGAAAAATGGACATCAGAATAATAAGAAAAGATGAGAACTGATCTTTTTCACATTGTGGATAATGTATGTCGGTAGTTTGGCGATTTTCACTGTTTCCAATTTTCCTATATTATGAACTGGCCAGTTTTAAGCAAAATTACTCCGAAAATATTCAACTAGGTTAGGTAAAATTTTGAAAATATCTGTGATATACTGAGGATTGGAGAATTATAGACATTAAACTTATATCTAATTACATTAGACTGTGTGACTGTACATATTATGGAAAAAATATTTTCAATTGTTTGTAAATATTTCATCTACCTACATGTAATTCTGGTGCCTTACTAATTCGTAAAAGTTTTCTGTTTTGTAAAATATCGATTATTTTGCTGTAGCAGTGTAAATACTATTTTATTGTTGACTCATGTGTTTTATGTTACCAAAGAAAAGTAACTTATTTATAAGTCGTATTTTATAATGTTAAGTAATGCTGTTGTTCATATATAGATTTTTTATAAAACTATCTTTTTTGAAGTTTGTACATATATATTATCTGAAAAATCAAGAAATTTTGAAATCGGGTATGATAAGATGTTCGAAAATATTCATATTGATAATTTTAAACAGTATTTCATTTAATCAATTTCTTTATATTATTGAAAAAGGCAAGAATCTTAATGTTCATTATCAGAAAAAAAAATTCTATATTTGAAGAGTCCATATTTTGCTCAAGATAATCTCATATTATATATCATGTACTGAACTCTGTTCAACAATTATATACTCAATAAAACTTCGCAGTGTGATTTCTACCTCTACATTAAAATAATTGAAATGCACAGCCTTGGAGATCCTCGTTCATCTTTGATATTCGAGGATATATTTCATTGTGTATCCCATAGGTAACATTTTCTCAAGTGGATATATCATCGTCTTTATTTATTCGAACCTGTTTTTAAAGGAAAGTTGAGTCCAGCAATGCATTCGTGGTTCAGCCTGACACCACTGACAAGGCCTATAACGGGTCGAAACTGCGCTATCTGTTGTTGATCTATAAATGCGTCGTGTAATGAAAGCTGCAGTGGGAGACAGAGGACGAATCTTGTCGGCGGTCAATGTCAAAGCTTGGATTTGAAACTAACCGCCTTGTAGTACCTTGTTTATCTTTGATATTCGCTTGTTTTGGATTGTTAACCACAGTTATAACGTGCCCTATAAAAAAAGTAAATATTGAGTTTTATCAATGCAAAATAACCTTGATGAAAAGAACAACAAACTTAGAAAAAAAAAAGATAATTTGTTACCTTGGAAATTTTTTTTTGAGTTTTTGAAAATACTGAAGGAAAAACCTATATTTACTCTGGCAACGGTGTCTGTAAGTATGCAATTCAGGTTTATACTTAATTTCAATAGCTGTGGATTAAATTCATTAAAAAACATAGTCTCGGAAAACTTTGTCAACAATCATTTTTGACCTGAAGACAACCCACATCTTGCAATCTCGTCAGTTCTACGTTGATGTGTGGAATATACGATAATAAACCATATTTTTTCATGAGTGGTTAAATGGGCATAATTACTGACACTTTTCTTGTTGAAACCCCAACATATTTCTCCTACAAACAATAAATCACTCACATTTATCAGTTCAAACATACGCTGTCTGTTCAAAAAATAAGGAGAATTTTTATGTTTCTCAAAAAATATTCAATTATACATCAATTCCTATTTTGTCCAATTAAAAAAAAACAATTTATTTCTCTGTTAAAGTGAATGATTTTATTACAGAGTATATATGAAATAAATATTAAAAATAATGGAATATAGAAATGTATAAAAGTAAATGCTAAAACAAAGTATACAGGGTCCTGCAACAGTGGCACGGTGTTCCATGTTTCAATTTTGGAAACAGATAGGCATCTAAATTTCTATAATATTACTTCATTGCACGAACTCGACAAAATAAAAATATTGGCGGTTCAATTTTTTCTGGGTGGATTCCAACTCTGTTATTTATTGGTAAATGATAACAATAATTGGCTATTGCCTGGATCGATTACCACAAGGTATTTGATAATACATGGTTCGAGCTCATTTTGCGTCTGCCCAAATATTGTGTGGTTCCAGACCAAGTAAGATGCCTTGAACAATTGATACCACTCTGGCTGACTCATTTTATCATGTCTGGTCAGGGTAGAGTCAATTCCCTTCTGTATATGGTCAGCGATCATGAAACAGCCCAAATAGGAGCATTTCTCTTCGAAGCAGCTGCCCAAACGGCTGATGAACTCGGTTCAGTTTTCGTCAACGAAAGAGGTGATCACAACTTGGTCAGCGAGTAAGAACCCGTTCAATGAAAGACAAGCCGTAGGGTAGACAAGTGGACTCGGGAGGAGTAACACCAATCAGACATGAAGTCACGAAAGAAAAAATGATGTACCTTCATAGTACCGTTCCAGAGTTATACATTTCCTGACAACTGAGAGTTAACTCTATGTTTCCATTAAGATTGTTCATAAATGTCGTAAATTGGTTCAGCTGTCGTGTATTACGTCTATCTACATATCTGTACCAGAAGTTAATTATTTTTCACCCAGGTCGGAATTTACTATAGTCCATAAATGTGTCTGCTGAAAGTTGACTAAGGGTTGAGCCCATTGGTGAACCTGAATCCTGTTTATATTTAAAATTTGTTGTTGAACTGTAAGTAATATTGATTTAGGCATACATCGAAAGCTGTTGAAATTGATGTAATATATTTAAAATGAGAGACTTACATTCGTTGACTTATATTGGAGAACAAACTCTTTCCTTTTAGCTACACTCAATGAAAAACATACAAAATAATTCTAACATTCATAATCAAATCTAAAATATCGAAGTGAAACGTAGTAACTTGATTTATTTCGAAATTTCTGTGGCAAAATCAATTCCGGTTTGATGTCGGAGGGGGGGGGGGCGTTAAAAAACATACTATTTGTATCGAATGAAACTAAAATTGAATTATGTGGTGGGGTTTGCCGAGATGTTATCGAAAAACTTGAGTTCTCTTCCCGGACTGTTTATATACGATATTTCTTGTTTATAGTTCGAAGTGATGGGTCGATCTCATTATAAAGCTTGAAGACATTGTAGGTAAAGCTTCTTCGGATTAGAGAAGTTTTGTAAGGTGGAAGCTAGATATGACCCCTATGACGTAAATCAAGGTTATGAATATCTGTCCCATATTTTATTTTATTGTAAAGATATGTGGGACACTGTTTATTGATTACTGCATGAGTTGAAATGAGAAAATGAAGTTTTCGACGATCTTGCATTTTTATTAATTTTGCGGATCTTAACTTGTGAGATATTGGATCATATTTGCGAATACCGTATATCAATCTAAGATATGATTTCTGAATTTTTTCTATACGATTAATATCGTTATGTTCAATGAACAATAAGCCTTTTAAAGACGAGAGTTAATATGTTTTCCAAATCGAAGTTATGTATCTAAGTGTAAACCTAAATTCCTTGCATCACTTGTAAAGAATAACTCTTCATTTTGAATTTTAATTCTCATAATGGTTCCAATGTGATATTTGTTTTTTCCAAATATCATTACTTTAGATTTGAGTGCGTTGATTTTCAACTTATGCGCATGTGATACTTCTACTAATCGGTTTATATCTGCAGATATAGTTTGAGCCTCAAACCAGCAAATGAGTGATACAGCTGTGTATCATCAGTGTAAAAGTGTAGTGCTCGAAATGAAATTAATTGTGTGTATACTAAATAGTACGGGGCCAAGTATAGACCCTTGTGGAACCCCACAAGTGACCTTTTCTATTGATAACTGACCCACAGCTGTCTCCACATATTGACTCCTGTCCTGTAGATGATTACACATAAGACTAAGCAACTACACTAAGACTAAGAAAAACCTATAAAGTGTAAAATATCAGTACTGACACAAATGTTTTTTACAGTATTATTAAAAGTGATTGTGGATACATGATACCAAGGCGTTCAGACAGTCGAAATGAAGAATATCGCAATGTTCACAGATTTTATTGAAGCTACTGCACATAAAATTCAATGGTGATCGGAGCATAACATTTGTGCGTGATGCTTTGCAATAGCATTTCAGATTGTGTCGACCTTCACTTCTTGGTACTAAGAAATTGATCTAGGATAAAAGAACCGTATGTCAATATTGTTGTTTAGTAATTTATGCAGTATTTTTGTACCAAGGATAACTCTCCTATTTTCCAAAGATGTCGTATCAAATCGTGTCAACAAAATATTATGATCGATGCCTCTCGTGGGGTATTGTCCATCAACTTTTAGACATAAGTATTTCAGGAACTTTCTTTGTACGCTCTCAATTGATGTTTTTTGGTAGTCGTAAACTGGATTCCATAACACAGAGCTATACTCTAACTTAGATCTGACATACGGAAAATATATCAATTTCAAGGTGGCAATACTTTTGTAGTTTTTGCCATTTCTGTTAATGAATCCAAGCATCCTATTTGCATCAGTAGTCATATTCCTTATATGTATTGTAAATGTTAATTTACTCGTATGTTATACTGAGATCTTTTATCTCATGTACGCGGTTGATTGTAGTATTGTTGGTTGAATAATCGTACATTCTTTTTTGTTGTAAATGATGTAATTTTACATTTGGATTATTACACCAAAGTATGATTATATCTAAATTCATGTTGTAGACGTTGGCAGTCAGTAATGTCGTCGATTTTATAATATAGTTTCATGTCGTCTGCAAATAGTAGGCTAGGAATATTCAAAGAGGTTGCCAAGTCATTAATAAAAATAAAAAATAAAAGGGGTTCAAGATTAGAACCTTGTGGTACCCCAGATGTAACTACGTACTGAGCCGATTTGGAAGATTGCTTTCCGACGAATTGTTTTCTGTTAAATAGATATGATTCAATTAGAGTAAGCAGTTGGTTATAGAGTCCCAAATTGTCAATGTGCTGAGAAGAACATAATGGTCTATCAGATCGAAGGCTTTCTGAAAGTCTGAATAAACAACATCGACGTGTTTTTGCTTGTCTAGGTACGTACAGAGATATTGATTTAAACATGCAAGACTTGTCATACATGATCTTTGTTGTACCAAACCATGCTGAGTAGAAGAAATAACTTTTTGAATATGGGAGTACATAACATTTTGCACACATATCTCGAAGAGTTTAGAAAAGTTACATAAAATTGAAATTGCCCAGTAGTTTATGATATCGCCAGAGTCGCCTGTTTTAAATATCGGATAAATTCGAGCCGTTTTCCACTGCTCAGGGAAGGCACAAGTTGATAAAATTAAGTTGGATATGCCTATTAGAGGTATAATATACTTGTGTGAGCGTGTTTTCCAATCCTCGAAACAGTTTTGACATGCACTTTTTGGTATGTCCTTGTGCTCTCTCCGGTTTTTATTTCCTAAATCGTCTCTTCAATGTTAGGAACAAGAAAAAGCCCCAGGGAGCCAAAAAACGGTGTTTTTTTTTGGTCAAAAAATCACGAACAAGCAATGACGAGTGGGCAGATGCATTATCGTGATGCAAAAGCCATGCATTATTTTTCCAGAATATCGCACTTTTTCTTTGTATTGCTTCCGCAAGCAGTGCATAATTTCAAGATAATACTCCGTATTGACCGTAGGACCATGTGTCAAGAACTCCTGATGCACTACGCCACGGTAATCGAAGAAAACAGTGGACAAAACCTTGATATTAGATCTAACTTGGCATGCTTTTTTTGATCTTGGCTCTCCTGAGCTCTTCT